GGCCTGTCCCTCTACAGGAGGGATATTCAAAGATCGTCGAAACATAGCCAGGGGACGATGTTTTGCATATGTTGGGAATCTCTTATTCGATATAATCGATAAGTGTATATATGTATATGCATATATATATATATATATATGTATGTATATGTTTACGTATATGTATATGTATATGAATATGTATATGTTTACGTATATGTATATGCATATGCATGAGTAAATGTATATGTATATGTATATGTATATGCATGTGTATATGTATTTGTATGTGTATAGGTGTATGTACATGTATAGGTATTTGTATATGCATTATGCATATGCATGTATGTATGTATGCATGCATGTATGTACGCGTGTATGTACGCATGTATGTATGTATATGTATATGTATGTATGTATGTATGTAGGTAGGTAGGTAGGTAGGTAGGTATGTATGCATGCATGTATGTATGTATGTATGTATGTATGCATGCATGTATGTATGTATGTATGTAGGTATGTATGTAGGCATGCATGTATGTATGTATGTATGCATGCATGCATGCATGCATGCATGCATGTCTGCATGCATGTATGTATGCATGTACGTATGTATGTGTGTATGTGTGTGTGTATATATATATATATATCTATAGAGCAACAATTTTATTTTCGCCCCCCCCAAAACCCCTGTACGGGGACAGGCCCGACCTGAGCTCAGCGTGCCGCGGCGCCAGTTCTGGCCCACCACACGCCTCGGCGCGACACGCGGGCACGGGCCTCTCTCGAGGCCTCCCGGGGGGCTTCCCGCGAGGCCATACGTGGGGCCTCCCGACGGGCTTTCCCCGAGGCGCGCCGAGGGCCTCCTGAGGCTTCCTCCTCCTCCTAACCTACATCCTCCCTCCTACTATTCATAATATCCTACCTTATTAATCCTCCAACTACCGCCTCCTCCCTCCTCACTGCTCCTCCTACTAATCCTCCTCTCCTCACAGCCCTCTTCTCCATACTACCTAACTTCTCCTCCCTACTACCTTCCCTCCTACGCTCCTCCTCCGCCTCCTCCGCCCTCCTTTCCTTGCCTCCTCCACCCTCCCTCCTCCTCCTCCCCCTCTCCGCATCACTCCTCCTCTTCCTCCTCCCTCCTCGCTCCCTACCCTCTCCCCTCCCGCCTTCCTCCTCCTTCCTCCGCCTCTTCCTCTCTGCCCTCCTCCTTCTACGCCATCTTCCCAACCTCCGACTCCCCTCTTTCCCTCCTCCTATCTTCCTCCGCCTCCTCCTCCGCCTCCTAGCCCCTCCTCCGCTCCGCCTCCTTCCTCCCTACCTCCTCCTCCTCCTCCTCCTCTTCGCCTCCTCCTCCTCATCCTCCTTCCTCTCTCCTCCTCTTCTCCTCCTCATCTTCCTCCTCTCCTCCCCCTCTCCTCCTCCTCCTCCTCCTCCTCCTCCTCCTCCTCCCTTGGGCTTCGTGGAGTGTCTGGGGCGCCTGGGGAGCTGCTGGGGGCGGCGGGGGGCGCTTGTGGACGCTCCCGGAACATTTGGGAGCACTTGGGAGCGCCCGGGAGCGTCTGGCAGCGTCTGGGAGCGCTAGGGAGCGCTTCTAGAGCGTCTGGCAGCGCCGAGGAGAGCCTGCGAGAGTGTGGGGGCGATTGGGGGTGTCTGGGAGCGCCTGGGGCCGCCTGGGGAGCGCCTGGGGCTGCTTGGAAGCGCTTGGGCGCTCCTCCTGGAGTGTCTGGGAGCGCTTGGGGGCGCCTGCTGCAGCGCCTGCGAGCGCCTTGGGCCGCCTAGTGAGGGCTTTGGGGACATCTCAGGCTGTGGGAGCGCCTGGAAGCGCCTGGGGCCGCCTGGGGAGCGCCTGACGCTGCCTGAGAGCGTTTGGGCGTCCCTGGAATGTGTGGAAGCGCCTGGTGGCGTCTGGGAGCGTCTGGGAGCGCCTGGGAGCGCTTGGGCCTGCCTGCGGAGCGCCTGGGGCCGCTTGGGAGCGCGTGGGCGCTCCTGGAGCGTCCGGGAGCGCTGGGGAGTGCCTGGGAGCGTCGGGGGCGCGGATCCTGTGGCTTTTGCCAGGGATCGCGGCCTCGGGGGCCTTATTCTGGGCCGCTTTTCAGCCGGGCGCCACTTGCCCTCTGGAGCCTCTGAATATTGATTCCGAGCTTATGCTGCCGGCGAGCGACTGCAAAGACTCCCCGCTACTCCGTTTCGATCCAGACAGGGAAGGGAGTGCGACCAATAGCCGCTCGCTGCCTGACGGTTGTCAGGACCGACGTTTTCTCTGGAGAGAGACGCACACATTCCAGTGTATTGACACGTGTGGGTGGCGGACGACTTTTGCAAAAATGCGGTTCCCGCAGCCCGCGCGCCACGCTAGCCGACCGCCGCCCCTGCGGCGGCGGCGACAGCGGCCTCGAGGGCGGTGCCCTCGACGTCAGACATTTGCGGATCGGATTCTTCAATCCGCGGCCCCAGAGGTCCCATTCCCTTCCCCGACTTGGGGCCAGCCTGAGATTATACATATACATATACATAACATATATATATATATATATACAAATATATATATATATATAATATATAATATATATATTAAAGAAAGAAACGCATTTTTACAGACAATTAAAGATGGACTGGGCGACATCCCAGGTTGTTCGGCGCGCCTCCCCCCCTAAGATAACCCGAGCCTGTCGGTTGCGCAGGTCCAGATGGGTATGCGGTGCTGGTGCGCGAACATGCACGGGGCGGCCCACAGCGAAAGGCCGTCACCTCCCCCATCCCCCCCCCCGCCGGGTATCTGGGGGTATCGCCGGAAAATGAAAACATATTTTTGTTCCGCTTGGGTGCATTTTTGTTGGCCCGGGGGTGAAGTCGGGCCTGTCCCTCTACAGGAGGAATATAGAACAAATGGTCGGGGGAGTTTTTTTTTTTTTTTTTTTTTTTTTTTTTGTTTTTTGTTTTTTTTGTTTTTGGGTGTTTCTTTTGTTTTTTTTTGTGTGTTTTGTTTTCTTTGTGTTGTTGTTTTGTTGTGTCTTGTATTATATATACATACGATAGCATGTTTGGCTTTTATACATATATATATATGATATAATTGTTATAGCATATGACATAACATGTTTGCCTTATTTATATTTATATATGATATAGCATGTTTGGACTATTTCTGAATATTTGTTGAGTATTTTTATTTTTCGTCCCAGATCCGCCCGTAGGGGGACACGCCCGGCCTACCCCCTGGGGCCCGACCGCGGCCCCCGGAGGCCCACGCCGGAGGGACGGCGCCGGACCCCGGCACCCAACGGCAGGCTTCGCGAGCCGACACCGCGGCAACATGGAGGCATCGCGACGAATCGCGACCATGGGGCCTCCCCCTCCTCCTCCTCCTGCTGCTCCTCCTGCTCCGGTTCCTGCTCCTGTTCCTGCTCCTCCCCCTCCTCCTCCTCCTCCTCCTTCTCCTCCTCCTCCTCCTGCTGCTCCTCCTGCTCCTGTTCCTGCTCCTGTTCCTGCTCCTCCTCCTCCCCCTCCTCCTCCTCCTCCTCCTCCTTCTCCTTCTCCTGCTCCGGTTCCTGCTCCTCCCCCTCCTCCTCCTCCTCCTCCTCCTGCTGCTCCTCCTGCTCCTGTTCCTGCTCCTCCTCCCCCTGCTGCTCCTCCTCCTCCTCCTCCTGCTCCTGTTCCTGCTCCTCCCCCTCCTCCTCCTCCTCGTCCTCCTCCTCCTCCTCCTCGACCCCAGCAACAAAGACAGGCTTCGTGATCCCACGTTGCGGCAGCATGGAGGCACCGCGACAAATCGCGACCGGGGGCCTGGACTCAAGGGAGGAAAAACGCCACCCGGACCCGACCATTGGCGTCTGGGGCACCGCGACAGATCACGACCGGGGGCCTGGACTCAAGGGAGGAAAAGAACCACCCGGACCCGACCCTTGGCGTTTGAGGCATCGCGAAACATCACGACCGGGGGCCTGGCAACAAAGACAGACTTGGTGATCCGACATTGCGGCAGCATGGAGGCATCGCGACAAATCGCGACCGGGGGCCTGGACTCAAGGGATCGACTAGACGTAAGTCGGGCCTGTCCCTCTACAGGGGGAAAAGTCAAAAATAGTTAAAAAGTAGTCAGGGGACTATTTTTTGAGTATTTTTGATAATTTTGGAGTATTTTTTGAATACGTGTTATTTTTCGTCGAAAATCCCCCCGTAGGGGGACAGGCCCGACTTAAGACTAGACGCAAGAGTGACCTTTCGCCGGAGTGACCTTCTGGTGCGGGCCCAAAGAGGTCCCCCGATCGCCGAACGCGAGGCGGCAGTGGCGTCTTGCGCGCTTGCGTTTGGCCCCCCCGCGGCCCGCAAAAGGCCGCGCACCAAAGGTCACTCTTACCCAGGGTCACTCTTGCGTGTAGTCGAAGGGAGGAAAAACCACCCGGACCCGACAATGGGCGTTTGCTATACGGTCCTGGGCGTTTGCCAAACAGCCCTGCCCTTTTCGGTTCCTTTCGTGGGTGCGTTTGTCGAACGGCTTCGCGTGTCGGGGTGATCATTCTGGGGGTGGATTTTCTGCCCTCTACAGACCCCATCCTTGTGCGTCAGTTCTTCGATCGGGGCCGATCTGTGAGTGTCCTGGGGCCCGCAACAAAGCAAAATCCATTGCCTTCGGGTGGCGAAATCTATACATACCCGCTGCTCCTTGGCCAGGCCCACCCCGAACCCAGGAGCTGTGCATACGCCCTCCTGGCCACGCCGGGGGGGCGTATCCACTGCTGCCGGGTTCAGCATGGGCCTGGCCAGGGAGCAGTGGGTGTGTAAAAGGACTCCGCCGCCCGGTGCTCCGAAAAAATGCGGCGCCAGGGCCTGAGATATTGGAGGCTGCCGTCGGAGATCCCAGGCGACGGCGGCCGCCGCGGTGGCGGCGGCGCCGCCCCGCGGCGAGCCTGCCCAGAGCCGCGCCGGGCGAGCCGAGGCGGCCGCGCCCGCGCCGCCCGCGCTGGCCCCGCCGGCGCCGCGGAGCGCCGCGCCCGCCGCGGCCCCGCGGGGCGCCCCGGCGCCCGGCGGCGCCGGCGCAGCCGAGCAGCTGTGCTTCAAGGACGGCGGCGGGGGCGGCACGGGCAGCTGCCTTTGAGCCGGGCACGTCCTGCTGCAGGAGAGCATGCAGAAGCAGTCGACGAAATAGCCTGGGGGCATTTTTTTTTTTTTTTTTTTTTTCTAAGTATTTTTGTTTGTCATTCTCTTGGGCTATGTTTGGGCACGTGTGGGATATATATTCCATGCCTCTCCCAAGAGAGCGACCTGTAGGGGGACATGCCCGACCCAAGTCTGCCTTGAGATCCGGGCGTCGTCGCTGGGTTTCGGGCCCGGGGGCCCTGACAGATCGGTGCGGCTCAAGACGTGGTGCAGGAGGGTGGGGTCCAGGGCTCTGGTCGCGACTTCTGTTGCGATGTTTCGCAACGTCGGACTTCGGGTGGGCCTCCCAGATAGTGCCCGAGTTGGTGGGATCGCAGGATCGCCCCGCATGGCCGGTGCATCGGCGATGCGGCTCGATGTGGAGCCCGATGTTCTCCACGCCGACGTCGCCGATGCATCGCCGACGGCGGCGACTTGGAGTCGGCTGGGGTTGTGAGGTGGTCCAGCCAGAGGAAGGGGGATGCTGTTCCAGGCTCTGGGGTCAGGGCACAGGGCTGTTTTTTTTGTTTTTTCCTTTTTCGGCCGCTGGGGACCGTATCCGGGCCCCAGAACCGTCAACGCCTGATCTGGGATGCAAAACTGCACCAGACGGTCCCCAGGAGGGGTCCAGGGACCGATTTTGAACGGATTTGCTTTCATGGCCTTCTCCTGATTCGTTTCTCGGGCCCAGCCAGCTCAGAGCCCCCGGTCGCCTCCAAGAGGCGGCCGCCTGGTGGCGGCGAATGGATTCGTGTCTTGGGCCCAGCCGGCTCGGAGCCCCCGGTCGCCTCCAAGAGGCGGCGGCCTGGCGGCGGCGGCGGCGGCGGCGGCGGCCTCGGCGACCCTTGGAATCTAGGCGCTGCAGTTTTTTCACATCGGGCGGCTTCGCCTGGCTCTGGGCCCCCGGGCCAGCACGGATCCGTGCGACGACGGATCTCGGGAAATGGCGGCGGCGGGGCGGCGTCGGCGGCCCTGGCGGCGGCGAGTGACGACGGCGGCGACGTTGTCGTCGTCGTCGTCGTCGTCGTCGTCGTCGTCGTCGTCGTCGTCGTCGCCGTCGCCGTCGTCGTCGTCGCCGTCGTCGTCGTCGTCGTCGTCGTCGTCGTCGTCGTCGTCGTCGTCGTCGTCGTCGTCGTCGGCAGGGCTCGGGAGGCGGGCCGATTCGTACCTGGGGTCGGGGCCAGCTCTGAGCGGATGCCGGTTGCCAGTCTGACGTCGGCGACGACGACGACGACGACGACGACGACGAAGACGGTGGTCGCGGCGGCGGCGCGTGCAGCCCGGACCTCCGGCGTCACGAAGTCGACCCCGCGGATCGGGCGCACGCTAACAGTGGGCTGCGGATCCGTGGGCCCGCAGAGGCCTCGAGCGCCTGCCCCGGGGCCAGCTCGCAGCCCCGAGTCGTTCTCGGGTGGCCCTGCCCTCACCGGGCCCCCCGAGGCCGAGGATGGCCCCAAGCCTTGCGTGGCACCTTTCACGGCGCGAAGTCGGGCGCAGGCTGACATGGATTAGGGATCTCGAGCGGCGCCGGGCCTCCCCCCTGGTGGTGCCTTTGGCGCCACCCCCGGCGTGCCCCGCGCGCTGGGGAGGAAGCCCCGCGGCAGGTCCAAGAAATCCGCGCGGATCCTCGACAGTTTGGATGTTGATGCCGTTTTCTCTTCTTCTAGGATCTTTCTTGCGGGCGCCAGGCGCCAGATCCACGGATCGCGGAACGTACCCCCCGAGACATGAGATCAGCGACGCCTGATCTGGCGACGGAGCGGGCCGATCCGGTGCGGAAGTGGGACCCGTTCTCGAGGAGATCGTGGCGTCCCTTCGCTCTCGGCATCCGCGCAGTTTTTCGGGCGCCTGGGGGCCGTCGACGAAGATCGGGCTCAGATGAAGAGTCGGTCGCTTTTAGGATGGGGTCGAGAGTGGTAGGCTTCGGTGCCGCCCTGGGTCCCGACCCCGCCGACGTCCCTGGAGGTGACTGGGGGCCCCCAAAGCTCTCCCGAGGCCTCTGGGAGCTCCAGGCGAAAAGCTTCCCAAACCCTGCTCCTCTCGATCCTCGATCTTGCGGTGCAGTAGGAGGAGGAGGAGGAGGAGGAGGAGGAGGAGGAGGAGGAGGAGGAGGAGGAGGAGGAGGAGGAGGAGGAGGAGGAGGAGGAGGAGGAGGAGGATTTTGCTTACGATGAGGAGGAGGAGGAGGAGGAGGAGGAGGAGCAGGAGGAGGAGGAGAGAGAGGAGGACCAGTGTAAACCCAAAAGTCATCAACGATTTGGGATAACCCCTTCCTCCAAGCTCCTTCTTCACAGGCCACTACAACGGTTCATTTCCACTGAGGGGGCTGCCTCGTTGGAGACAACCTATTGAAGACCCTGAAGCATGCCGAAACATGGTTCTCGGGATTGCAACCCCACGGATCAACCTGACTGTGGCGTCTTGAGGATCCTGAATCGTGCCAAAACGCCATTTCTGGGACTTCAACACCGCGAACCATGTAACTGTTGCACCCTCATAAATTGGAAAACGAATGTGCGCGGCGCTAAGGCGAGAGCCACATTTTGAAAGCCACCCGCCCTCAATCCGTTGAATTATTATCATTGTTTACAGCGAATGTGCGCGGCGTGCAGGAGAGAACCACATTTTGAAAACGACCCGCCCTCAATCCGTGAAGCTTTTTGCAATTTCTTACAAAGAATGTGCGCAGCACTAAGGCGAGAGCCACATTTTGAAAACCACCCGCCCTCAATCCGTCAAAAAACGACCCGCCCTCAATCCGTGAAGCTTTTGCATTTTTTACAACGAATGTGCGCAGCGCCAAGGCGAGAGCCACATTTTGAAAAGGAGCCGCCTTCAATCCGTGAAACTCTTGAAAATATTTAAGACGAGTGTGCGCTGCGCTAAGGAGACAGCCACATGTTGAAAACAGCCCGCCCTCCATCTGTGAAGCTTTTGCCAATTTTTGAACTTCAGGGTCATAAGTGGTGAGGAAGTCTCATGCGAAACGCCGGCCCGCCCTAGAAACTGGCTTCGGGGTGCGACAGGGAGAAGATGTTTATCAGGAAACGGAATGTAGGAGGAGGGGGAGGAGGAGGAGGAGGGGGAGGAGGAGGAGGAGGAGGAGGAGGAGGAGGAGGATCAATGTGGACCCAAGAGTCATCAACGATGTTGGGATAACTCCTCCCTCCAAGCTCTGTCTTCACAGGCTTCTACAACGGCTCATTTCCACTGAGGGAACTGCCTCGTTGGAAGACAAACTTTTGAAGGGACCCTGATGAAGAATGCCAAAACATTGGTCTCGGGATGCAACGCCACGATCAACCTGACTGTGGCGTTATTCTTTTTCTTTTTCTTTTTCTCTTTTTTTTTTTTTTCTTATTTTTGTTTTTTTGTTTGTCTTGGTTATTTCTTTTTGTTGTTTCGTGGTCGGTTTTCTCTCGTCTACCCCCTTTTTTCTTTTTTATTTGATCTATTGTCCTTGTGTTTTTTATTCGTTTGTGTGTCTGTTCCTTTTTTTTAGTTTGTTTTTTTTATTATTTTGTTTTCTTTTGAGGATCCTGAATCGTGCCACAACGCCATTTCTGGGACTTCAACACCGCGAATCAACGTAACTGTTGTGCCTCATAATCCTGAGTCTTTCTAGAACACAATTTCTGGTACGTTGATGATGGGAATCCGTGAAGCCCTTGCACATTTTGAAGACGAAGTTGCGCGGCGCTCAGGCGAGAACCACATGTGGAAAAGGAGCTGCTTTCATTCTGTGAAATTCGTGCAAATTTAGAAAACGAATTTGCGTTGCGCTTAGGCGAGAGCCACATTTAAGAAAGGAGCCGCCCTCAATCCGTGAAGCTCTTGCAAACGAATTTGCGCGGCGCTAAGGCGAGAGCCACATGTTGAAAACGACCCGCCCTCAATCCGTGAAGCCGTTACAGCTTCTTAAATCGAATATGCGCGGCGCTAAGGCGAGAACCACATCTTGAAAACGGTCCGTCCTCCACCCGTTAAGCTTTTGCAACTTTCTACCCTGCAGGGTCATTAACAAATGATAAGGGAGTCTCAGGCGAAACACCCGGCCCCCCGTAAACACTGGCCTGAGGGTGCGACAGGGAGAAGTTATGTATAAGGACAAGGAAGGGTGGAGGAGGAGGAGGAGGAGGAACCAGTGGACACCGAAGCGTCATCCATGTTGTTGGAATGCATCCTCCCTCCAAGCTCCCTCTTCATATGCCCCCACAACGTTTCATTTCCACAGGGAACTGCCCCGTTGGAAGGCAACTGTTTGAAGACCCTGAAGCATGCCAAAACATTGTTCTCGGGATTGTAACGCCACGGATCAACCTGACTGTTGCGTCTTGACGATCTTGAACCGCGCCACAACACCAATCCTGGGACGTTTACGCCGCGAATCAACGTAATTATTACGCCCGCATAATTCCGAATCCGTCCAACACACACAAATTCTGGTACGTTGATCATGGGCATCCGTGAAACTCGTGCAACTTTGAAGAAACGGATGCGCGCGGCGCTTAGGCGAGAGCCACATTTTAGAAAGGAGCCGCCCTCAATCCGTGAAGCTCTTGCAAAACGAATTTGCGCGGCGCTAAGGCGAGGTCCACATGTTGAAAACGACCCGCCCTCAATCCGTGAAGCCGTTGCAACTGTTTAAAACGAATGTGCGCGGCGCTAAGGCGAGAACAACATGTTGGAAACGACCCGCCCTCCATTTGTGAAACTGCTGTCAATGTTTAAGCTCCAGGGTCATAAATGGTGAGGAAGTCTCAGGCGAAACGCCCGGACCGCTCTAAAAACAGGCCTCGGGGTGCGACGGGAAGAATTTTCTTATAAGGAAGAGGAGCAGTAGGAGGAGGGGGAGGAGGAGGAGGAGGAGGAGGAGGAGGGGAGGAGGAGGAGGAGGAAGATAGGATAATGAGAATGGTGGATGGGTGAAGAGGGAGTTGGCCAGATGAGGAGAAGGATGATGATGATGATGATGATGATGATGATGATGATGAGGAGGAGGAGGAGGAGGAGGAGGAGGAGGAGGAGGAGGAGGAGGAGGAGGAGGAGGAGGAGGAGGAAGAGGAGGACTTTTTCCTGCCTCTGCTGGTTGCGGCCTGCGTCCTGAAAGCCCGCAAAGCGGCGGCACGCGTGTGCCGAGTGCGGCAGAATCCAGGAAAGCGCACCCGCAGGAGCGAGCGCCATCCGCGACCCAGGACGGATCTCGGAAGGCTCACGCCCCGCCCCGCGAGCGCCGTGGGAGACCCATGGGGGGGATCTCGGCAGGTCCACGCCCCACCCCCGCGGGGGCGGGCCGAGCCCCGGAAGCCCGAAGCCCCCAGGAAGCCCAGAGTCCGGGAGCCGAGCCCAAGAGCCCCGGGGACACCGGGCGCCCCCCGCAGACCTCAAGACCCGGGAGAGTCGGGAGCCCGCGGCCCCAGGAGGCGGAGGCACCACGCCGCGACGATGATCGAGAAGGGAACAGACGGCACCGTCAGCTCGTAGCCTGAGCACGCGATGCGGCGTACGACGTCGCCGCCCTTGGGAAAGCCAGCAGCCCATCGAGGCCTGTGTTCTCGAACTCGGCTCCTGCGCCAGCTTCTCGTTCTCCATCGCCTTCGTCAGACTGGGGTTGGCGATGCCCTCAGTGTCCTTTAGCTTGCACTCGATAGCGGCAACGCCCGCATGGCAAGGCTGGTCAAGCCAGTGGAGGGTGTCCTGCACCGCCATCTCGATCTTCACCTCATCGCCGCACTCGAAGAACTCCTGTAGCTTCGCCTTTGCAGGGTGCTGCGGATGGTGAAGCAGTAGTTCACGAGGCCGAGCTTCGCTGCAGACTCGGCCTGGTCAAAAGGCAGCTTCGCCTTCGGCTTCCATTCGAAAGCCGCTCCCATCCCATCAAGGTTATCTCGCTGACGACCTCGGTGTTGCTCATCCCGAGGCTCGGGAGGGAGGCCTCTCCAGCGGCACTAGAGGCCTCTTGATTGTGCTCGGGTCCGTCATCCTCTGAGCCATCAAGTTTGTGGGGGGGGCGGGAGTGCGTACCCTCCCCGGGATCATTGCGCCGCGGAGGCGGTCGGGGCTCTGGCTCTGTGCCCCGTGGGAGTGTCGGCTGGGGCGTCAGCGTCAGCTGGGGCTCCAGCTGGGGCGTCAGTGTTATTTGGGGATCCTGGGGGGGCCAGACCGGCGACTCGTTGGGTCAACGTGCGTCGGTGTCCGAGCCGTATGTGGCGGGTGCCGTTGCTTGTGTTCCTTGGGGGGGCCCTACGTTTCCTTCAGGTACAACTCGGTGCCAGTTACGGGCATTATGGCGCTGGGCGCATTGGCGGATTCTGTACGGAAGGCGTCTCGTGTCAAGCAGTGCCGTGCCATGTACAGTCTCTGGGTGGCTGTTGATGTGCCAGGCGGCGATCCTACGAAGTTCGCCCGCGGGGGCGGCTTACTGTGGGTCTATTGTTCCCTCGGCGGTTGTATTGTTCCGCGAGCCGACCTGTCGCCTTGAGCGGTAGGAAAGCCGCCCACAAGCCCTTGCAGCCTGGGCGTTGTGTGGTTTCGGTTCTTGCCCCTGCCACACAACCATACGTGCTTCTGTTTTGGCGCCCAAGTGTCACATACGATTTGTTGGTGGCCCCTGTTGCACTATTGTCACGCAACCATCGTGAGCGTGCGCTTCGGTGGTGGTGGTCGTAGGGCTGGTTTTTGTGTTTCGGGGCCGGGGTGTTTGTTTAGAAGCCAGGCGGAGGCTTGCAAACCCGTGGCTGCTAAAACGGAACTTTGGGGGATTGATTTTTCCCTTCCGGGAAGCAGCCCGTCTGCTATTTCTTGCGCTGAGCTTGAGTCCGTTTTTTTGTTTGTTGTTTTTTATCTCTCTTCCGGGAGGACCGTTTTAGCAGCCACGGATTTGCCAGCCCTCGCACAGCTTCCAAATCGTGGTGGTAGGGCTGGT